CCTCCCAGACAGATGGATATCCAACATAAATTCAGACAGACGAGAAGAAAACACTGGTGTGTAGAGTACCTGGGGTTATGCCTGTGATATTAAGAAATCCACATCCAGGACATACCAGGCCAGAAAGACATGTCTAGCCAGAAAGGCACGCCAAGCTTGCCTTCAAACACAAATGCAAATTTTACTTTCCCATCCTACCTCAATGCCTCTGCATGCTGTATTCCTACTTGCAAAATGAAATGCCATTTGGGCATGGTTGGATCTTGCACCTCTATCTCTACATTGCAACACCTGAAGAAATGCAAAGGTCTGGGGGTGGCCACTCAAGAAAGAATGCAGCCAAAGCAGCCAAGAAAATGCAGATGACAGCCTGCAGGAATAGGACAGTAGGGGAATTAATGGGTAACTAGTAGCTGAGCATATGTGATACAGACAGAATTATTTTTACAGGAGTAGTATTGTTTTAATTTAGTCACCACTGGAAGGACCAATACTGGTACACAGAAACGCCTGATGAAGCAAAAATCTTGCAAGTACTTCAGGGAGGAGCAGCTCTATCTGCATTAGTTTCCTCAGTACTTTCATAATTTTGTCCCTTTGCTGCTCTTGCAGGTAACTGATGCCTTCAGAAGGTCTGTGGGATCGTTTATAAAGCATGGGATTTTTTAAGTAATTAAAGATGTGGCAAAACAGCAAACATTTTGCATGGTCCATGTGCTTGGCAGCATTTTCTTGCCTCATGACAGACCCAGCTGCCCACTACTCCTCCAGCTTTCTTCCTGCATTTGCCTATCCCAGATGCCATGGCTTTCTTCAATGCCCTCCAGGCACTCCACATCCTAGTAACTCCTGGCTCTGAGACATGTCTACAATTTCCTTACTTGTGAGTGAAAATATTAAAAAAAATAATACTTAACCAAAGAATCATTTCTTTTGCTTTCCAGAAATGGGCCTATTACCCAGAGACAGCAAAGTATGCATCACAATTCCTGCACGGACAGCCCAGCCCGAGCAGGCTCCAGTATTAAACAGTGACAATCTGTAATGATCATGAGCACTTGGAGAAGGAACATCCAAAACTGGAAAGTCCAACATTACACATTCTCTGCTAAGAACCCTAAAAACCATTTTTCCTAGCAAATCCCACAAAACTGTATCCTACAGGGAGTAACTGAATGCCAGATTATGGATCACCCTCTGAGCTGTACTCTGATCTAAGCAGCTTCCAGAAGGGGACAGCATAAGAAACAGGGCATGTGTAAAATCACTCTGGTAGTCCTATCTCTATGAATCACAGGTTTAAGGATTCAGGGACAGAAACTGCATCCAGACAACCCACCTGTGGACCCACCCTCCATGAGCTGCCTAACTACTAGGACACCCACAGCACCCTCAGCAGTGGATTAAAAACATTCACCTACACCGGGTAGAAAAGTATTCCCTTTTGTTTATTATACATTTAGTGCCTAAAAATGTTGCAGGACGTACCCTGACTCTTCTTGTAGCAACCAATCTTTATAGTGTTCATGACTTCATGCATTTGTATCACTTCCCCTGCAGTCACCTCTTTCCAAGCAGAAAAGTCCATATACTCATGACTTTCTAAACAAGATGCCATTCCATTGCCATTTTCTACTATCATACTAAAGTTCACTACAAGAAAAATTAACACAGAAATACCACATGGACTTTTTTTTCCATGTACAATGCTCCCTTGAACAACAAGAATAATTTATTTGTCATTTTCTCTCCTCTCATCTGTTCTAATCTGCTGTCCCTCTTGTCTTTCAGAGCTAAATGCCTAGAAGCAAAGTTCATTGTCTTTGTTAGGCCACCACACAGCTGTAAAATGGAAAATAATGTAAAAAGTGGAAAATAAAAAGTCATTCTTTGAACTATAGATAGTAAATTCTGTGCAGCAATGAAAACATCTTTTGCAGATCCACTTTAACAATTAACAGCATTGAGACTGTTGGTGAGGTCGATATTCAGAAGAGCTGAGAGTTCATTTCCAAACACTAGGAAGGTGTCAGCAGCTGCAGTCACAGCAACTAATATTTGCATCCAAGCTTCTAGATCAGTGACTGTTTATCAAATGTCTTGCTAAGTGGAATCAATGCTTGCCAACTCCTTTTCTATTTGGGCCAAATACATTTTTGGAGCCACTGTGCTCAATGGGATTCTTTTGATCTTTCTCCAGGGTTTCAGACTGTGCCCACAAGTACTAATTTGTCTCCCCTTACTGATGAATAGCACAGGTAGGAGGGAAGCAGAGCCTTTACTATGCAGGCACCAATTCTGCACTCAGAGCTTTGCAAGCAGAGCCATGTACTGTCACAAAAATAATACTGATAACACTGAGGCAGCAGCAGGATCAAGGTGTTGTAACACTTCCAGGCATGAAAGACTACAGCAATATGTCCTTGGGGACACTAATAATTTTCTTCTCTGTACTCTCTCCCCACTCTTTGACTTTGTTGAGACAGCCATTCTTTGTGACATGTTTCTCTGCTGCACCCACATGTCAGGGAGTAGAATTTAGTCTTTTCTAAGAAGTCTTTTTTTAAAAACATATCCCAAAGTAGCAGCTGGGCAGAAAAGCTGTCTTTCTCAGTAAGAAATGAAGTCAGCTTTGCTAAACAGACTCTTCCCTGAAACTTCCCTGGAAATATACAAGAGCAAACAATTGAAACAACCCTCTTGCTAAAACATGGTATTATATACGTGGCACCTTCCGTTCTGCTCTCAAAACACAGAAAAAAGGTTGCAAGTATAATTCTGTCAGTCCAAACTGGAGGAAACAATGCACAGACAGTTTAAAGGACCTGTTGAAAGTTTGTCACTTCCGAGCCTGAGTAAGTTATATTCTTGGTTTGTAACCCAGCAAACCCTTATTTCTTGACTCATAACCCAGTGTTAACAACTCTTTCCCAGAGACTGGATGACAGAGGAATTTTAAGTAAGGGTTCCCTGACAAAAGAATCCTTTCATTAGCACTGTATCTACAACGGGAGAATAGGGTAAGGCTGACAGCACTAGTTAAATGTAATAACACCAGCAAGGGTTCACACTATGACCACAGAAAAAAAAAATTAATTGTAAGAATGCACACTCAACCTTGTAAAATTCTAACCACCAATACAGCAGTCAGTCTCCAAATTGTCAATAAGCAGCACTATTGTGAGCAGAGCTCCCCTGGGACCATCGTGAGTGCTTTGAAAACTGGCATTTGTGAAGTACGTGCATCAGGGAGAGTTCTGAGATCAGCTTCCCTGAAATCAGCTCCCATATTTACTGACCTTCAAGGGTAAAATAGGAACTCCAGTTGTTTACATAAGCTTTATTAGAGGGAATTGGATATGCAGGGTTGTCTTAGGGTGTAACTAGAAGTTACATCTATATAGGGACTTAAGGTGTGGAGATTGCATTGCCATCTGTAAATTCATTACTGTGCATATTCTATTTGCATATGTAATGACAGATACACCTTTCTAAATACAGTGGACTAACACATATTTAGCATTCTGGCTAAACTACTGAGAAGAAACAACATAGCTCTGCCTTTGAGGATAGAGACAAACAACAGCACTTGGCCTCTGCTGAAGGAGTTGAGAGACTCCTGTTCGGCTGCACTGCCAGTAACTGGTATTACAGGTGCACACAATGGGCAAACTGTGCAAGACAAGTCTGAATTATCAAGCAGTGAGACGGCTTCTCCATTAAGAGGCATCACTGACCATCTCACTGCTTGAGAGCTCACAGTCCTCCTTGGGAAAATCCAGTCATTGTTCTCAAGATATTGGTCATCACGCTTAGCATAAGAGAGTACCTACAGAAACCCTTACTGACACCAGCAAACCCCCGCCAAGCGCAGCACTGGAGAGTCAAAGAGCCTCCCTCCTTTCCAAGCTCAAACAAGTCGCTGCTGCTGCCACTGCCCAGCCGTGGGGCCGGGTCACCCATCCCGGTGACCAGCGGGCGAGGGACACAACCAGACCCACACGCTCTCTCACAGCACAACACCTGATGGAGAGCTGGAGTCAAATTCCTACAACCCCTGTGAGACCGGACAGTGGAGCAAAGGCACCCGACCTGGAGGCAAGGCTGCTGTCCAAGCTCTCCACTTACCTGGCGCAGGGAATACCCCTGGGGAAAGGCTCTTCCCAGCGATCCTGTCACAGGAAAACCCACTGCCCAACATTGACCCTCTCTGCACCAGTCAGCCAAAAGACAGAGAGCCACCTGAAACCACATTCGATCCTTCTCCGGGCACGGGGGCCGACCTGAACCTCAGCTCCTCAAGTTACAGGAAGGCTTTATGAAACCTCCCTGTAAAACAGCCTTGTTTTCCTGGTTGGCCACGAAACACCGTCGGCGTGACCCGAGCTCACCCCGGGGGTCGGAAAACAGAAAACAGAATATATAACTTTCGTTTCCTCAAAAAAAAAAGGTGCAAACCTTGCGGAAACCCGCCTGGAAACGGCATTTCAGCCTCTCGGCGCAGCCGGTGCTGAGGGAAGCGGGGCAGCCCGGGTGTGCCCGGCCTCCCCCGAGCCCTGACAACGCGCCCGTCGAGGGCTCCGCGGCCCCGGGGAGCACCGGGGGCGAGGGCGGGCGGCGGGGAGGGCGGCTGGAGCCGGTGGATCGGACACTTACGCATAGCTGCGGAGCGCAGGCTGGGGCGGCGGCGGCCCCGGCCCGCCCGGGTGGCTCCCTGGGCGCTCCTCCGCTCGCCGAGCCCGCGCGCCAGGTGAGGCCGCCCGGCCGCATCGCGCCTCCACAATGCCCCGAACGGAACTCCCCCGGGCGCCTCCGCCCGCTCCCCTGGGGCGAAGGGCAGCGCTGGGCTGAGGGCGGCACAGCTGGGCGGCCCTGTGCCAGGGCAGCGGGGGCTCCCGGCACCGCCGTGCCCGGCTCTGGGCGGTGACGGGCCGGGGGTGCCGAGCCCCCGCCCGCTGTCCCCTTGTCGTTCAGGACCGCTCCGAGGGCACCCTCCTCACCATGGCACCCTTCTCACCACAGCACCCGAGATTAATAAAAACGCAGTTCTTGCGGTGCACCGGCTCTACCCCCTGTCAGGCATTCATACCCTGAAGACACTGGTAGATCTGCAGGTACGATTGCTCTGCAGCCCATCTCCCAGAGCAATTCCATCTCCATCAAAATGAAACTCAGATAGTTTAAATACCTTAAAGGGCTGGGATTTGCTAACCCTGTGCTTTTTGATGGAGCTGGATGAGAGGGCAAGGCATCAGCAAATCCCTGTAACCTCTGGCAGGGATTTGCTGATAAGGAGCTGGTGCCAAAAGAATGTGCAACATCCACAGACTCAGCACTTGAATCGAAAATCCAGGCCTAAGGCTTCTCAAGCTTGTACGAGGAGTCTGATCCAGATGCAAACGACCACTGGCATAAAATGAGAGGGGTTAGGATGCTTAAGTCCTGTGTTTGTAATCTAAAGGAGAGACATCCCCCCAGCACAGCATGCATTTAGTCCCAAGCACAGTGTATCTGGATTCAGGATACAGATCACATCTGCTCAGGGAAGAGCTGTGCCCTGCTCTTGGATGCAGTGCTAGATGCATCTGAGTCATCAGTGAAAATGGGAAAGAAATCCAAAAGGGCTTGGGGACTTTAGGGGACACTGACAATCTCTCTTCAGCCTCTGGCTTCAGCAAAGGGGAGAGATCCTTGGCCAAAAGCAATTGTGCATGTATAGCTGAGAGGGGAACTGGGCTTAAATCTGCTACCAGCTGGAAATGCCTATTTGCAAGAGCAGAGAGCAAATGCATGTGTGTGCTCCTTATCCTCATTTATCAGTGTCGAAGTCATTTCCACGTTTCCCTAAGCATGCATGACCCTACTCCTCTTGGCCTTCCATAAGCTTTGATTTGGTCTATTCTTCACAGAGTCTTTCACTGCTGTTTCCTCAGTTCTGGTTTCTGCATGTTCCAGCCCCATCCCACCAAGCAGCACATCACATGCTGTGCTGTGGCACTCCCAGCTGCTGGGTGCTCTGGTTTCATTTGTGCACAACACAACAAGTCCCAGCTGCCTACAGATCTCAGTGATCTGTTCACTTGCCCCTGGCCTCTGTCTTTCCTGAGTACACATCCCAGCCCATAAAGCAGTACTATCTACAGACCCTAAGAACATGCTTGCCCTTTTTTGCCCAGCTGTGCAGCACACACCGTGCAGCACACACCATGCCATGCTGCCAGACTGCACTGCCTCACTTGTTTTGCTGGGGCACCATCTTGCCTTCAGTGAGCCTGCCAAAGACACACTTACTGCAATCAGCATCTGTCAAAACAGACCACAATCTTACAGATTCTCTGGAAGACAGCTGGGATGAGTAAACAGGCCACACTAAGTGCCACAGTGCCCACACTGCCTTTCCCAGGAGGTAAACATCTGCCTTCCCCACGACCCTGCTCATGCTCCTGCCCCTTGCAGTCCCCAGCTCTGCCTACTGTGGCCTATGCAGAAGAACAGAGAGCTGCCTGCACTTGCACCCAAACACACTGTTGGTGAATGGGGAGTGTTCCCAGATAGCACTGCAGCACTGGGAAAGCCAAGTGTCTGTGAACACTCAGAACTGGATTTGCCTTACATGCAAGAATGTGGACACCACAGCACAGCTGTACTACAGAAGTGGGACATCAACACTTTTATTTCCAAAATGAATTTGAAATTAAGGGATGAACATACCCCTCAGTCCCTACCTATGTAATTTACTCAGGTGATGGACAGTAATTTATTTTTTTTTTGCTTAACAACTGTTTCCCAATAATCCTGCTTTTCTGTGCAAAGATCTTCCCTAATTAGGCCCATAGGATCAAGACAACCATCCTGCTGCTTTTGTGGTTTTTTGCAAGTAATCAGAAAAAAAGCAGCAGCAGCAAATACATCATGTATACAGTGCACATGAACAGCAGTGGCCAAAATCAACCTATTATGGCCAATCTTGGAGGTTGGCAGAGAGAAGAAGCCCTACAGAAACAAGGCTGTAGATATAGAATCATGCCTAAATTAGATGCTTTCCAGCTCAGAAAGCCAGGCTGCACTTAATGACTGCCTAAATAGCTGTGGTAAGGACTTGGAATTCTCCCCTCCCTGCCTCTCCTAGCACTGTGTACCTGCATAATGCTCTGATAAGGAAGATAAGCATCTTCTAATGGTTCCTACTTGGGAGGTTTGAGCTACCAGTGTCACTCAGCAATGGGAGCAGGGGGAGGCACCTGTAGCACATGGTTGTGCCAGGTGAACTGATGGGGTGAACTCATTCCAGGAAAATGCCAGAGGATGGACTCCATCCAGTTCTCCGCTTAGCCCCAGTTAATTAATTTGAATAGGAAAGCTTGCAAAGGAATGCAAATTTATCTCTCTAACTCAAAACTTCTGCAAAAGGCAGTTTTGACACCCTTCTCTTTTGGCTTCTGCCTCTGCCTGGAAGAAAATGTTCATACTCCTTTCTTAAGGGCCCTTTGAAATAGGCTTTTAAGACAGACAAGCAGCTTTTTTACTGCTACTGGATATTGTCTCCTCTTTGCTTATATTCCACTTTTCTACCAGCCTGTAGCATTCAGAAGCAGAAAATGTTCACACCAAAAGTTACAGTGGATTTAATGGGCCTTGTGTGCCTACACCTGCTATAAGAGCTGCTCTAGCTCCTAGGTATCAGTTCGGATGAGTTTGGGCATTATTTACTTGAAAAAAAGTCATTGCTAAAAGGTCCAATGCCTAAATCTGCAACAGGCTTTGTCTTAGGCCCTCTTAATCTCTGCAAGCTTTATGCACTGCAGAAGCTAATCCTGGACCATATAAATAAAGCTATATATTCACCAATGATTTACAATTGATTGGGAAGTTATGTTCCTGTACATTTCCAGAGAAACAAACAAATCCTGACAGCTTCAATTAAGAGATAAACTGCTGTCTAAAGAACAGCAGGGAGTGAACAAAATATAACATTCTCACTTTGTTCTAAAAAAAGGCACAAAAACTCCTTCCGAAAACAAACCCCAAACCCAAGCACCTTTATATTGCAGAAAGGTGGCTTTTTCCTGACATTGAGTACTACAGCAAATGAAGTAGAACACTGGCCATTTACCTGATTCTAGCCAGCACATGCCTTGGTGTCATTTTTCAGCACCTGAACTGAGCTGAGAGACTTCAGGTAAGTAGCCCTGCACAAACCAGGGAGTTGAGGCTGATGAAAACTCCACTTGGTGATTTCTTTATAAGACACCTGCTATGCAGATTTTTTTCCACTTGATACTAGGTCTGTGGAGGAAAGAAAAAACTTTAAAAGCCCAATCTAAATTCAGCTGCAGGAGGTATCTTTTAATTGCACTTTGGATCAATAGAGAAGCAACCTAACACTTGCTCTTGGTTACTAGGCAGGGACTTGTACTTTTCCAGACTGCCTTTCATATGTTCCCTTTTCCTTATTTGCTCACACAATCTGGATTCTCCACAGTTTAAGTGCAGAACAAAGCATTCATATCACTAGAGTGCATACCAAATTACATATCTGTGCCACCGATTTTGGTACCTTATCAGCAGCAACAGCATGTTCAGTAAGTAGTCCCAACATTTAAGTAGTTTAAAGTATTAGAAAAGTGTTAAAAATAGCAGTCTCAAATCCTTATAGCCTGTACTGAAGTGATAGGCATACAAGTACTTAAAGGGTGTCAAATAGCATTTTATTTCATTTCCCAGCTGTATAAAATTAAGAGCAGGCCAAAAGGTAGACAGATATTAACAAAGCTCCATCCAGCACTCTGCTTCAATCAAAGAAAATGTGTTATGGTAGCCCTCTTGTGTTCAGTTGGATTTACAGCTTTTAGATCCACAGCACCCTTCCTCACCACCCCTGAAATCATGGCTCTGCATGCTTTAACAACACTGCCAGCCAGCTCTTTGCCCTATACACCTTCCCTCAGTTTCTTTCATGTTTTTCCTCCTTCCATCCTGGCTGTAAAATCAGCCCATGCTCCTGAAACAGCAGAGTGCTCAGTTGGTATATTCACAACATAAAACAAGAGAACTGCTGTTTTGGAGTAGGAGGACCAGGACACCCCTCATTGCCTGTGAGCATGCTTATGTTCCCAGCATTTCTCCTCCATAAAGGGACTGTAATGAAAAAAATTCACAGCCTTATTTCTCTCTTTTAGTTAATGCCTGTGAGATTAAGTTTTAAACTGAGTATCCCTCAGACACTATTTAGACATGTGCAATTCTCTACCCTCATAAAAATCACTCTGATGTTCTCCAAAACCTGTAAGTACTATTGACTGTCCTGTTTATTCCAGACCTTCGCTACCAATCACCAAGATTAAAAAATCTGTTGTCTACCACTCAACTGGGGCACTGCACAGAGCTGTAGGAGGTAGTGGCTTTTACAGTATTCTTTTCCAACATGCAAAGGCTGTAGCAAACAGATGATCAAGTTATGACTGCACTGCTATGGGTGCTTTATGGGATGGAGTCTGGTAACTGAGGGTAAGGTAACAGGCTGTTTCCTAAACAATGCTCACCTTCCGTGTCTGCTGCCTCGGTCATCCCTTATTCAGTCACTGCCACACCAGCTCACTCTTATAGATCAGGAGGCCCAGGTCAGCAGGTCACTTGTACTTCAAGAGCTGCTATCACCTCTCTCAAGGAGCCAAACTCCAACATGGATGTGCTGCGGTGGAGGAAACCCGGAGGAGGAGCCATAAACTATGAGAGAAAGAAGGAGAAATGAATGAGAACAGAGAAAAGACAAAGGACAGCACTAGAACAGAAAAACTGCTGTGACTTAGCAGCAATGCAATCAAGGAGTATTGGCAAGCAGTGCCCTCTCTTGATCAGCAACATAGGGGTGGCACTTCAGCTCACAAGAACTTGAGTTTTGACAGATACATGCATGTAGATTTTGAGAGCAGCTGAAAGCATAAGGAAAACAGGCTTCAGAAAAAAAGAATCAATATAGATAGTAAAAGGCATGGTATCTTTACTTGACAGTTATAGTAGCAAAGCTAGGAGCAAGTTAAACCCTATTTTGTGTCTTTTCTATAAACAAGCTAAAGAGGAGAAAAGCATGTACCTCCACAAGCCATATCTTTGTGATAAAAAGCAGTTTAAGAATGAATGTACCAAATATTCTGCAGACGAGCCAGTCAATCTGACAAAAATTAATATAATACATCAAGAGGAATTAAAAGAAAATGCTTCTACTTCTCTGTGTGAGCACAGATTATATACTAAAACTGGTGAGAGACCCTGGGTACATGAGTTGAACAGCAATTAGTTATAGCAACTCTGAGCTGCCTGTATGTCAGGGGGCAAAAGACTCCTGTATAGAAGCAGAAAGCAAAGTTTCTAATGACCCCATATATTTCAGTTTATTCTTTGATAAAACAGTTTATATTTAATTTAATGAAAAAACTGTATAGATTTTTTTACTATTCTCTTGATGCTTTCTTCCATTGCTGAGGTGATAAAACCTACAACACTGTCTTTGAATCTGTTCAATAATTACCTTTTATGTCAGTTTAGGAGACCACATGGCTCCCTAGAGCCCATGCCCTTACTTCATCCACAGGGACAAAAAATTTTGTAGGATCACTTGATAGCAGTCACTTACAGAGATCCTTGAGAAGACTTGCCTTATGAGAACGAGAGAGGCAGAGAAAGCCTTCAAAGGCCACATTGCAACTCACTGTAAGATGGTTAGTTGATGACAAAACAAGTGTTTTAAATGTTAGGCTGGCAGAATTCATCATTTTCTGTAGTTTGATCATGGCATTTCACTGTAAGCCAGGCCATTCAGCACTGAGGCCTTGTCTACAGAGATAAAGCTTAGACAGCTTTCCTTCTGAAGTACATAGCAGTAAATCTGATCAACAAAAAAATGTCCCTTTCCTTCATCTAGCATATGAAATCTCTTCAACGAGTAAGGTCAACACCAAAAAAAGAACCCTCAGTTACTAAGAGGTGGCACAGAGCTATATGAAATTTAAATGAAGTTTTCAACATAAGGAACGTGAAAAGTGATCAACTATGCATTCTTAGTTAGAAACCAATACATGTATTTTCATGCTTTCACTACAAGTGATTTGCAGTTCTCCAACATTTTGAAATTTAACTAGAGTTCATATGCCTTATTTAAAACATAAGATGGTCTACACAGACATCTAAATACGTTTTTCTGACTACAGATCAGTAACAGTTTGATTTTTTCCGGTCAGTCTTTGTTGGAACTCGAAAACATGGGGTTTTGCCTTGAGAAAGGTAAGAAGCTTAAGCTGATTAAAATGAGACCTGTCTTTAAAAAAAAATAAAAAATTACAGTATTATATACTACACAGGCTACTCAGCCACCCTTCAAAGGTGCCAAGTTAGTGAAACTCTTTCAGATTCCCTCTATGGCTCCTAAATACCCTAAGAAAGCAGTGAGCTACAAAGCCAGCCAATGCTGTATTTGAGCCTGTGAAGGCTGTGAGCAGCTGTGAGGGATAAGGATAGTTCCCAGCTTATCTCCATCTTTTCTCTGCGAGAAAGTACAAGACAAGTGTAACCACCTCCTGTGGCTGCAGTTTGTGTCCTCTGTATGTATCATATTGTAGACTCTGCTCACCCCATTAAAATTAACATTTCTTTAATACCTTAGACAGGTCCAAGGGATCTCAGGAAAGAGGTTAATCCTCTGATACTGGTAACCAGAGAAGAGGTCTACATGAGCTGGCAAACAGAACACAGGATAAGGTTATACATCCCTAACTGGGACCATGCAGCAGTTGTCTCTCAGTGCACTAGTTCATCATGGGCCTTTAACTTGCTGCAGCTCATTCAGCCCCAATGCAACACACCTGACAAGCTGTCCCATCAACCCAGATTTTGGACATGGGTCACATAAAAGAGGAGCCAGAGCATACAATGGGGGTTGTACCTTCACAGGATGGAAGAAAAAATGGATCATCCAAATAGACTAAGTGAATATCAAGAAATATTTTATTGTACATGTAATCAAAGTTTAAAAAACAGACAAGAAGGAGCAAAGGACAGAATTATCTAGCATCTCTTATCTATGCAGGGTACAGAAATACAACTAGTAAAGAATTAGCACATATTAGTACCCTTTGCTCCCCTTCCCTGCTCCAGCAGAGGAGGTTACACAAGCGAGATGAGTAATGCTTCAAATCAAGGCTCCTCTGTAACTGCACACTTGAGCTAACAGAGTTGAATATGTTCAGTTTCAGGAGTGTGTGCCTTCAAAACAGTTGTTTATAAACAAAACCATTCTCTCTTTAGTGGTTTGTAAGCATTACTCATTCAACACCAAGAGTATACTTAAAAGGCTAATGATTTAGTGGCCATATTTGTCTTGTTATATCTGAACTGACACTATCTTTAAGTATATCAATTATAGAAAATAGATTCCTTAGGCAGTAGAGAATATATTATCTAGTGGCAAAAATGTAAAGAAGCAAAGGAAGTATTCACAGGGAAGGGAAGGGAAGGGGGAGCTGCATGCTGAGCAGGGGGTACCTTGACTAATCAGAACTAAAAAAGCTGAGGCTCTGGAGTACTAGCTGCAAAGGAGTTACACCTCAGTGTCATTGGTGTAAGTTTCAGAATGTCTGGTTTGAAAAATGTTACTCAATCCCCAAGTTTAATTCATGCCCTGGATCCTCCTTACCTACCACAGTAGGATTTTTAACAGTTCTAGCACTATAACTCAAGTTCTGCCTTACATGCTGCAAGGAAGAAGGCTTCCATTCTCCTCCAGAGTCAGATAGGAACAAGTCGGAAAGTGAACGCAGAGCATTATCAGGACTTATTCACCCTTACAACCACTCAGTTTCCTTCCTAATCTAGAAGGGTGAAGGCCTTCTAAGCAGAAAGTTGCAACTGCTTTTCTAGTACAAGCTGATTTTCTCTCAATAGCTTAGAAATAAACCTTCCCAAAAAATCTAAGATATACAGCATGTAGCAAGAGCTGAATCAAATCAGTGTGACAAGTGCTAAATCCTGAACTGAAGGCAAGACAAGTTTTGGGATTCCCACAAAAGATGGATTTGTTTATTCTTCAGTGGCCCAATAAGGCTAGCAAATAAAAACTCTTCACAAAACTTCCAGAGAAGGCCCATGGAAAGGCAGAAAAAGTAACAGTAACTAGCATATTCTGGATTCTAATGCCCTTTGGAGACTATCAGATTTTTGGCTTAAAGTGAATTATGACGTAATAACGATCTTAAATCTACTTCAGCCTACAGCATGGTCCAATGCAGATTATTAGTGTCAAGTTGCACACCTAGGACTTGAATTCACTAACACTCATAGCACCACTTGATTGTTGCTGTAAATAAAGACAGTCTAACCCTTAACTCTTCTGCCAGAAAGAGCCTATTACCTTTGATAATTGTGCAACACTACCTATTCCAGGCCAGCTGACCTACCCACATTTTCTGTCCTCACACATATGCATCTGTTTTGAGACAAATCTAAACAGCTTCAAGACTAAACTCTGTGACATATTACCTCAGGTTTCAAAGTTACAAAATAAATTCTCTTTACAGAGTATAAATGCAGAGATTCACTCAACTGTCAGACCAGCTAACTGACAATATCTCACTAGTTATTTCCTGTATGTGCCAACTGCACAGTCATAAAAGTCATGTCCCAGATCTGGAAGAGAATATTGTGGAGAATTATACAGCATTATAAGACCTAACAGGGCTTTCTGTAAGAGGCATAGAAGCAAACAAAGATGTCCCTGGACATAACAAATCCTGATAAACTATACTTGAGGAAAATGCCATAAAGAGTTATACCAGCCTTACAAACCAAAAGCCAAACTTGGGGGTCAAGAGAGTCTTCTTGCACTTCTTTGTAGACCTGTTTTAAGAAGTGCTATGCAGTTTGCTACAAACATGCTTACAGAGAAACAAGGACAGACTGGGACAGTCTCAGTTCTGATATCCATGGCAGATGTTGAGTTTAATCACACCAAGATTCTATATCAATCTGAGCTCGTCTCGTAACAAGGGCTTTTAGTGGCCATGCTCCAAGCCATGGAGCTCAGAGTAAAGGCACCTGCACATTTCATCAGGTCTGTGTCTTTAAGGCTGCTGGCAGATTCTCCTGCCTGCTTTGTTCATCTAGAGACACAACAGTAATGAGTTCCAAGAGCTACGCTCCACACAGGGGAGTTACAGGTCAATTTGTCATTCAGCTGCAGGAAGAACAGCCTGACATAAATACAGTTCTTGCTGCCCACAACAGAGAGTTTTGTAACGAGAGTTGTCAGAAAGAAAAAAGAATATACAAAAATTAACTCTCTATTAAATATCTCTAAGAAATGCAGGAGTACCTTCACAATCCGGTCGCTCCCACAGGTCACCATTAGCCCTCTGGAGATGTCCATGGACATGTGTGAAATGTTGTGTTTTCCTTCATGAAAGGTTGCCAAGGAAGCACCCCAGCAGTACTACCTCAGTTTATTAGTCCTTAATACTCACTCTTCATCCTTGATGGACTCAAAACAGGAATCACAGACACGGACCTGGAACTCAAATCCCATGATTGGGTAACTGGACCGTTTGGTACTGCACTTGCCACACACTGCTTGCCCACATTTTCTGCAATGATGCTTCATGGAGGAAGAAGAAAGCAAAAAAATAAATCATACTGTGTCCCTTGACCACCTTTACCAAGTGTTCAGTGAACAACAACAAAGCTTCTGTTTTGCAACCTGTTAGAAAACAACCTGTTACTCTGTTACTTCAACCAAAGACCAAGGACTCTCAAGTTCTGAACAGTCATCTGGGCCATTAATGGTTTTATCTCCATATTCTCTGTGTACATCCTCTTCTCCTTCTGCAAGCCTCTTCTGGGAGAAGGGGAAAAAGTGGACTGAACAAGCATGAAATAACAGTCTAAGAAAGCCAAAACTATATGAATGTCTTGGTGTCTGTGCAGCCCCTCCATAAAAAAGGCTATCTGGAAAGCTTTCACATTGTCACACAGTAAAAGGGCCATTACTGCTTCCTTGAAGTGAGCACCTACAACATGTTAGGTTGCAACTTGCTCCGTTATGGGGCACTGTTTGCCACTTTACACAACACTTGAGGATTAGCTGTTCAAAGCTCCAATGCACAGAAATATCCAGAGAAATCCAACAGAACACTCCTAGCACAGCCTGCTTTGACCTGTGACAGAAGTTTGGTGCAACACTTTCCACAGAACTTGGAAATGTCTTAGCGCTGCCTAGAAGCCATAACCTCTCAATAAACCCTCACTTCAAAGCAGCAAAAATATCAGCAGTTGAAAAGATCTAATGGCTTTATATCAGTTTTCTGCTTACATTTTGCTTAAGTGCTGAATTATAACTAAGCACTCAAACCAGCCATCTCACCTGTCTCAGCCCTATCGTCTTTGTGTCCCACATTTGCTTTATATTCCAGAAGAAAGGCTGTTCACACTTCTGACAGGAATCACTTTCCAGCCATTGAGGAGCCTACAAAAGAGCAGAGATGCAAGCAATCAGAATTGTTTTCCCTCATACAACAGCCAAGGAAGTTTGTTTTAAGAAAAAGTAAAGTTTTACTTGGAAAGATGCCCTGGCTCAGTTCTGAACATTACAACAATAGATTGCCTAGGGTATAGTACAGAGGAAGTTTAGTACAAAAACCCTGAATCCAAGACTACAGTTATTTGTTACCTACACACCTCCTACACTTTTTAAACCTGGTTACTCTGTTACTTCAACCAAAGACCAAGGACTCTCAAGTTCTGAACAGTCATCTGGGCCATTAATGGTTTTATCTCCATATTCTCTGTGTACATCCTCTTCTCCTTCTGCAAGCCTCTTCTGGGAGAAGGGGAAAAAGTGGACTGAACAAGCATGAAATAACAGTCTAAGAAAGCCAAAACTATATGAATGTCTTGGTGTCTGTGCAGCCCCTCCATAAAAAAGGCTATCTGGAAAGCTTTCACATTGTCACACAGTAAAAGGGCCATTACTGCTTCCTTGAAGTGAGCACCTACAACATGTTAGGTTGCAACTTGCTCCGTTATGGGGCACTGTTTGCCACTTTACACAACACTTGAGGATTAGCTGTTCAAAGCTCCAATGCACAGAAATATCCAGAGAAATCCAACAGAACACTCCTAGCACAGCCTGCTTTGACCTGTGACAGAAGTTTGGTGCAACACTTTCCACAGAACTTGGAAATGTCTTAGCGCTGCCTAGAAGCCATAACCTCTCAATAAACCCTCACTTCAAAGCAGCAAAAATATCAGCAGTTGAAAAGATCTAATGGCTTTATATCAGTTTTCTGCTTACATTTTGCTTAAGTGCTGAATTATAACTAAGCACTCAAACCAGCCATCTCACCTGTCTCAGCCCTATCGTCTTTGTGTCCCACATTTGCTTTATATTCCAGAAGAAAGGCTGTTCACACTTCTGACAGGAATCACTTTCCAGCCATTGAGGAGCCTACAAAAGAGCAGAGATGCAAGCAATCAGAATTGTTTTCCCTCATACAACAGCCAAGGAAGTTTGTTTTAAGAAAAAGTAAAGTTTTACTTGGAAAGATGCCCTGGCTCAGTTCTGAACATTACAACAATAGATTGCCTAGGGTATAGTACAGAGGAAGTTTAGTACAAAAACCCTGAATCCAAGACTACAGTTATTTGTTACCTACACACCTCCTACACTTTTTAAACCTACGGCAATATCTTATGTTCCTGCCTCAATAAAAAAACCTCATTCAAACATCTAAGTTATTAAACTTGCTGCAGGCATTCCGAGACTGCTGTTCTGATTGCCTAGATGATTTTTAAGGACTACTGTAATTCAAGCTGTAGAAGCTATGAGGCAGTTATCCCCTCTAAGAAGGGGGGTATCCAGAAGTAAATTCTGCATAACTATACTTTCTGCTTTCCTAGGATTGCAGTTCAAAATAATTAAGAATTCCTTTGCATTTTCCATCCTGCCCACATCTTCATTAACCAACCCTTCTCACACCCACACACTTTTCCTGCCATAAATGGACTAGGCCAAATAAAATAGAGCTTTCACACATCTCAACTCTCTCAGATCTTTAACTGAGCATCCTTGTAAGGGACAGAAAGAGGCACAATATTTTTAGTACAAAGACTTGAATTAGAACATGTATATTCTATACAACTTTATAGACCTCACGAGCAATTCTCCTTGAGACTTGACAGGAGGAAAGCTGGAACAACAAAGCATTTTTTCTCCTTAATTCACATACATTCATCACTGACAGTAAGAAAACAAGAATATTCTCAGTTGCACCACCATCTCATCATGAACATTTATTGATTCCAGATGTCCAGTTCCTAAATCTTCAACCTCAATTGTATTCTCTTCCTTCCCCCAAACAGTGGAAAATACTGTAAAGGGTAGTAACAAGTCCAGTGTGGGGGTGGAAGGGAGAGTAGAGGAAATGAGTTGCCTCTCCATCACATGAGATATTCCATATTGCTTCTTTCGGTTACTTAGAATAGCAGTTTTCACTTAAAAGCATTTTTGGGAAGACAATCCCCTTTCTGGCTCCCTCTAGCAGAAAAACAGGATATCCTCCAATTCTTTTCATCTTAATTTCACACATTAAACAGAAGATAAAAACTTGCCAATGCTACCAACACTATTACCAACATACAGTTGGAGCTGCTCAAGAGCAATAACACAGCTGTCAGTGGAGTTACCATTCCTTCTAATCAAAAAAGTCTGTTTTCTAGTCTTCTGTGCATTACTGCATATTTGGAGATACCCCTGTAACATGACTCACTAACTAATGCTTCAGAGGCAGTATGTTCATCATTGGTCAAACATTGGGTTTCTTTGCTTTTGGATTGGGCTTGATTATGTTTTTCCAACAAGTTCTGATACATCACAGCTGTTCTATCTTAACTGCATTATTTTAGCTGCATTAAAACTGTCTATTATTTAGAAGATCCCTTTATTGTGTGCAGGTCCAGAAGAGAAATGGCCACATCTTGTTTTCCCAATTGTATCATAAGTCAACTCCTTTCAACTACAAAGGTTCATAACATTACAGAAGTTTTGAAGAGAGATCATCATGCTGAAAATGTCAGGAGCATCACACACAGCATTCAGTGTGTTTAAGGTGACAGCTCAACACATCAAAAACCAGTTCTTAATCATGACACTTGCATTTAAGAAAAAGCAACAGGACAAGAAAGGCTGAGCCTTAAATACTGCTTTATGGGAGTAACCAAAACTACCTCCTATAATTATGGTTTAACCACAGAGAGTAGTAATATATATCTTTTCAGTTCCTGTGATGGGTATGAACTGATGCAGAACGTGCATGGCAGGGTCAGTTGCTGCATACTAAGATCTTCAAAAAAAGCACTGCCTGGGGACTGAACCTCTGCCTTCTGAACTGCATCTCAAAACCTGCATCTCACTTCTTTACCTGCTTTGACACGAGTTGAGAACTTATTTCAAGACTGTTGAAGCACAGTCCATTTTTTACTGCAGAAGATTGCCTGCTTTAGATTGTTCTAGCAGCAAGGGCCACAGCCATTCCAGTGAACATGCTGTCTCACTGACATAAGACTCTAAGCAGACCCAAGTGTGTCCTGCACTTCTCCTGTCCTGGGAGTCCATTTACTACAATGCAGCACGGACAGCCACTAGAACAGAACAGGTTTCAATAATACCACTGAATCTTAAAGTTTCAGACAACGTGAGGAAAGTAGAACTTTACTAGCAGAACTAAGTAAAGTCACATCAGTCTCTGAAAGGAGGGAAAAATAAAATAGTTTCTTGACCTAGGACATGAATTTACCTCTTCTCGGCTGATATCCATGTTCCAAACAGCAATTCCTCCATCAGCTGAACAAGACACCAGCTGCCGTGTCAGCTGGAGGTAACAGATAGCCTGCACCTTGTCACTGAAAACAAAGTAGACACTATTTAACCAGAGGTATTTAAACAAAGCTTAGTTTCCCAGCAAACCCTGATTTATCCTTGTAAAGCTATCTAGGACGGCAAAACTCGTTTCCAAACAGTTTGCTAAGTCTGCTGAGTAGAGCTATGAGGATGACTGGACAGGTGCTGAGTGTCAACTGGCTCCAAATGTGTGTGCAAATACTCTTCTATGTTGGCAAGGAAAGCCAAGTTACCAAAACAGAGACACCTGGAGAAATAAAGAGAAATATTTAAGATGCAGCTAAGAAGCAGACAGAGCTTCTTTCCACTTTTGCTAGCAAATCACAGTAAGTCAGTCTGTAGCTGCAAAGTAAAGGATGCATTTACCAGTAAGACAATTTAATCCTAAATAAAGTCATGGCAAAATAAAAGTCTACCCTAAAAAACTAAACAAAGGATCTCAATAGTATTAAACTGCTTTGCAACATCTAAGTTGAATTAAAAAAGTCATTCTGCTTCTCAGTAGAACTTCCTTTCCCATTCAGTATGAAGTTTGATGCTAAGTGTGATGTTTGAAGAGAAACTTAACTGTTATAAGTCTTCAGCAGGACACAGGAGGGAGCAGTAATAGCAGTCCTCCAGCTACTGACTTCAGTTACTTTTTTGTAAACAGTATTAATTCTTTAGCCATAGAACTAAATCCTCAATATTTAACAAGAGTTCTAGGGCTAAGGCTATCAGTCTTGATCAAAGGTGGATGGAGGCATCTATGAATTAGACATGAGGAGAATGCGCTATACAAAGACATCTTTAAACACAAACAAGATCTCTACCACCAGTGCATTTCTAAGTAGAATGTATCTTTAGTGGTGAATTGCCTGTCAGACTGAGTTAGAGCCCTACATTTAAAAATGGCAGCTAGTGTTGGGTCTCTGTAAAAATCAAGGGTTGATTAAATAATACAGCAGCTAACTGTCTCATCTGCAGAACAGGGGAGATGTGACACACTGTCTGAAGTTGAGAGACCACCCCTGTAATTTAGCCAATCAGTTTATCACCTCACTGATAGAAAGAGACAGAGAACAGGAACATACTGAAGCTTATTCTAGTCGGGTACATGAACATGCTTATGCATTAAGGTTCTAGACCTACCCTCACAGGTAATTCAGTGCAGTATTTACAATACAGACACATCCAATTTTTACATAAAAGACAAACCAGGTGATTTAGGATTTTTATCCACCTCTTTCTATAAACTACTTCTATATTACTTCTAGACTATAGTAATAAGAACATATCAAACGCGAGCAAGAAAAAAGATTTATCAGTAATGCTTTCCTAGTAGTGATTATCCTTCTTCCCTCAAAGTCCTCAGGGTTCTGTAAAAAGATATTTTCTCCATTATTCACAAAGATTCGAATATCTACTTAGTCTTCCCGGGACTCTGTGTTCATTACTGAACATGTAGGAAAAATAAGGCACCATGACATACTGATGTCCCTGGAGCAGCAGCGTTCGCCCCTTCCTTCCGCCAATATCCCACATGATGATGCTGTGATCAGAGGCACCTGAGAAGAGCAGTCGCTGAACAGGATCCCACCACAGGGAAGTAATACTCCCTAGGAAAGAACATTCTGCAGTTAGATGTAAGGGACTGACTCCCCAGCACAATGATGCCCTTCTGGAGCACTAAAGTGAAACCTTATTCCGGTAACATATTGAAAGCCTTAAGGCAAAGGACAACATTCAACAGCAAGATACAGTCCTGGTGGAGAGGGGAAAGAGCACTGGACAACAGAACAGAATGTCCCTAAGAAGACAGATAAAGCATAAACCAGAAAGTTTGAGTTATGAGCCTTCTGCCCCTTATATTTAGGTAGGTGGTTTTAAGAGTTGCCAGGCTGCTCTGTAAGCTTTGGAAGATGAAAAGTACGAACACTTGCCAAGCAGAGACTAGTATCTACAACTCAGCAAGGTGCTTGGTCAGTGGTTGCAGGACAGCATGCAGTGTTCACAGGTAAACCAACTCCCTAACATAAATATTTACAACCTTAAAATAGTTGGAATAAGAAATGAAGTCGCAGTTTCGCTGCTGTTAGCAAATCTGCCACCACTTACTAAATTACAAACTAAATTTCAGAAGGCCCAGCCTGGCTATGCATTACACTAGTCAGAGAAAGAAATGAGTCATCTGACAGTAGCAGCTTTATATTAAACTCATGTGCATGGTAATGTAGCCAGGAGACTAAAGGAGTAATTTTGTCACTTATGCCACCTATAGTTGTGAAGTTGGGATATTTTATTCCTTTGCAGAGATCCTTCCCTTTAAAGCATCCTTCCACTGTTCAGCTGTCATCAAAAGCCTTGTTAGTCTGAAAGCAAGATGAATGGTAATTAGAACCCAAATCAGTGCATTTCAATGCTCTGGAGCAAGAGATTCTTTTTAGCCACCTTTAGGGCTGCACCGTTTTCAGACTGACCCATTGGGAATAGCATTTGCACCACAAAAGGCAGTAGTTTGAGTATTATCTCAGCATTACACAAAGCAAGCTGTAAAATATGGTGAATTCTGGAAGCTAACCTGAAGAACAAACTCTAAAACCATTTAAACTGCAAAGCAAACACTGCTTGCTTATGAAGTCCCATCTAGCAAGAGCTAGAAAGGAAACAAGATGAAATCAGACTTTTGAAGTCTGTCAAACACAGGTGCACTCAGAGAAGAACTAGATGCCATTTAAGTTCAGAGTTACTAGATCTTGAGAACATTACACAAATACTGTAATACTGTGGAGGAAAAAAAGTTACACATAATCTGATTTACTAAAAAAAAAAAAAAGGAAAAAAAGATGAAGTAGCTAGTATTATACCAATTGAAGAGAAACCTGTTTCTGCCCCTCAAATTTAATCATCTTTTATTCTAGATCAATTCTTGTTTTAAGGGTCACAATCCCCATATGGAAGTACATAAGCCAAAGCTGTCTGCTATGCAGACACTATTGCTGAAGTTGGTGCTTGGAAGTCCATCACAACCCAATGGGTAGAACCTGCACTTATAAGAACTGCTAAGGACACATACTGCTTTCAGACTAACAGGAACATCTGCCAAGGAGTTGCATTTGAACAGACTAGTGCAAAAGGATAGAGAGGTAAAGGAGTCTCTAGGGCCAAGAGAATTATTTTGCTCTTAACTGAAACAATGTGAAATTCTGCTTGAAAGCAGAAGAGACATTTATCACTTGAAAATCTCAACCTGCCTCTCGCATTCCAAACCAGCTTAATCACTTCACAGTCATCTGTAAATCAGGAGTCTCCTCAGCTTTAACAAAGCCTACTCTATACTTACAGCTGTTAAACAAGGCAGCCTTTTCCAGTGGGTCAGAGACTCATGACCCAGTAGTTCAACCCTACCCAAATGCAAACTAGTCAACTGATTTGAAAGTTGGCAGTACCACAAGGGAAAAGGTACTGTCTTATTTATTTTTCTCAGCATATAATTAAGTCACACATTCTTCTGTGATTTGCATTCTTGCCACTCATTACAGCAGACAGTGGCTCTATATCCTGTTACAGACCATTTGGTTCTTCATTTGATACAAGGACTACAACTATACTATACAGGATGAGACATCTGCCTTTGACTTGGCATTTTTGTTTCTAAAAGGCTCTCTAGATTTCTTGCTTATAGCTTAGGTTCAGCTAAACACAGGAAATTGAACTAGAACATAAAGACTGATCAGAACAGCAAGGTTTGCATAGGGAAGAATTAAGTGGTATTTTAGAATCTAGACTGGAGGTTGTTAAAGCTGCTTTAGGTATTATCATATTACAAGGTCTCCTAAAAAAAGAGAAAAAAGCCCCACAAAGTAACACATTTGCATCCTTTCTCTTCTAAGTTAAGGAGACTAAAGCTTTTAAAGGTGGCCATCTAGTGGATAACTTGTGTTTAACTGAATGCATATATTTACCTTTATTTTTCATCTGTAATAAAAATACCTCTCCAGATTTATTAGGCTAAGATTTACCCTCAGCAAGAATGTGTGTGTTCTTTAGCAGACAGTCATATGTACAGCTTATGGTTACTACTACCCTGGACTGGTTTATTATCCCAAATCTATCCTTAAGAGCTAGATATGCAACTGAACGTCTCACCCCAGTTTACAACGAGGTGTTACATCTGGATTTAAGCAAAGAGTTACTTTACCTTCGTGCCCTTTGAGGGTTGTGATAACTGAGCACGTATTCTGCTCAAGCTTCAGAAGAGTGATCTGTCCAGAATAATCACCAACAAATGCATGCTGAGTTTCATGATCATATCTGAACAGCAGTCAAGGAGTATTTTACATGACAAATAGTCAGCTATAGCACCAAAAAAAAAAAAAAATCAGAAAAGAACATTTTAATATGTCAGATAAATATTTACATAAATACTTCTAAAGGGGTTGGAGACTGTAATAAACCTTTCTGATTCTTCTGATTCCTCTCTTCTCATCACACTTCCCTATATGTGCGAGTAAAGCTGTACTTGCATATAAAGAAAATGAGTGAGAAAAGTTTTAAAAAGCCATTGGAGAAAGCTGTGAGATAATCCATGCTCTAGTTTAAGGCAAGCTAAGTAGATTTGGGCCATTTCTAGCATATATTTACAGAAAACACTCATGCTTGTCTACAAGAGATGCCAAAACTTGTCAGGCTACTTATTTCAGTGCAGAGCTACCATTAGGAGCACCTCACTGGACACTGGGTGGCATTCAGTCTTAGCTAGTATGTTCCCCTATAAGCCCTCAGTTTTCTACCATGTTATAATAGTTGATATCCTCAAGACAAAAAAAAAATCAGGATACAAAGATGCTGACCCTCCACAGCTAGTTCATCTTGCAGTGGAAGTTCAGGCTACAGAGAAGGTGAGACCATCTTGTTTCTTGTTCTGTTCTCTGCACTTCCAAGTTTACCAGTGCAGGTCCTTGAGCATGGTATTGAAAACTGAACTGTATTTCAGAAAGGAGTCTGTCAGTTAACACTGACATAAAAGCCACACCACATCCTGACATGGGATCTATTAACATGGTGGCACATTGGGCAAAAGCATTATACCTCATAACAGTTTTGTGATACTCAGTTTTGTCACGGTGTAACTACTGTCTCCAGAAACCGAAGAACAGCAAGCCAATGGAACTAGAACATTTGCTGCCTTTAGAAGACTTTTGCTCTTCAGAATAAAAGCAAGAGCTATGAAAGATCCATAGAGCTGACACCACATCACCTAAGAGCTGTGTATAAACTTAGGTGTCCTCCTGGAGCCACACAAAACCACAAGCAACAGCAAACTAAGTAGCCTCTGGTATGCCACAGAAAAGGCTAACTTTAAAAAGACAGTGTAACAAAAAGCCCACTGCTTTAAGTGAAAATGCAGAGGCTTTGCCATCTGATGACATTCTAAAACCTCTTAAGCCTTCAGAATCTTGAGATAAACAATTCGCTTTCAACAAATCCTCTAAGTCCCTGAACATGTGATCCTTTCCTCATATTGGAAGTTCAGACTTGCATTATCCCCACTAATCCAGTAAAGAATAGGCACTCTGCTGTGTTATTCAGAAGCTTACACATAGAATCATTAACAAATAACTGCTAAGGAACCTCCAATAGGGAGACCAAGCACCTAGAACACATATCAGAAAGCTAGGTCTTCCAAACACAAGTCCAAAGGCAGGATCGATTACAAAGCATTTTCAAATGTCAAGTTCTTCAGCGGAAATTTATTTTTATCTTGATATAAAAGGTCATATTCTTTTCTCCATTTCAATAATAAACCATCCCATTATTTGCAATAGCATTAGCTACAGAACTCACTGAATTCAGTGAGGCTCAGACTGTTCAACACTGTTCTGTTAGCTGGTCTCCAACACACTCTCCAGCTTTAACCCCATTCTGTGCTGCACTTCAGTTGAGACGAACTGGAACTGCACATGAAATGTTTTGTGGGACACAACCCACCAGAACTCTAAAGAAAAAAAAAGACAGCAAAAAAGAACAACAGTACAAACCTGTCAGCTCTTCAGTAAGGCAGGGTCTGCACAGATGGAAGACCTCAGAAGGCCAGACATGCTGCTGGCAACTGATGAGTTACCTTTCTTCCTAGTTTCTTACCACCACACAGCTACACAGCCACTCCAGAGGGGCCTTCATGTTTTCAAGCAATGTAGTTCACCTCTTTCATCTTTGAATCTTGCCACTTCTAAAACATTACTGACATTAATCCTCATACATCAACCAGTACCTCAATTACTGTCCAGCCACATCTAAACTGCTACCATTAACAAGTGCTACAAAATAGTTTTAGGATTTTAAGTATTTAACTCGCTCAAAAGTTTTGATATGTGAAATACACTTTAAGTTACTGGGTTTGTAAGTCTTTTACATAGGATAAAGAATGCCCTGAAGTACTTATACAGCTGGACAGACAACCAGAGTGTTTAACCTACAAATGCTGCAGTTAAATGCAGTTTGTGGAAAAGTAAACTGCACACAGAAAATTACTACTAGTAGTGAATAAAGTTTCAACATACCCTGCAGCTTAAAGATAGAAGATATTAACATGAGCAAAGACAGAAAAATTGAAGCAGTCCAAAAGGTTTTCATGATGTTTTATGCTCTAGAAGGACTCAAATGCACACTTGGCATCTGTTGAACAAAGTGACTTGCCTAGGAAGAGTGTAGGCCAGGCTATAGATAGTTACTACTCACTTCCACAAGATGCTGCAGACAAGCACCTCAAAATTAGGAAGTAGTACACACTGATTTGTGCAACTCACAGTCACTTCTGCAATCTAACAACCGCTAACAGAAATTAAGGTGTTAAACTTCTAATCAGAGTAAGGGTTAGCAGACTGGCAAGAGATGTCACTCTAGCTTTTTTACACATAAAGGAGGGATCAAATTGATCTAAAGGTACTCTTCCATTTTCAGGGTAGCAATCATTTTTCAAAGGATACTGTAGACATGAAGCCCAAGAGGTGAAGTAATGTCTCCCCAGCATACTCCCACTCCTGGTGCACATCCAGCTGACACATTTGTCGTGACCTGTGCTGATAACCCACTCTGATGCCAGGCAGAAGGTAATAGCAGACACTCGATTCTGATGAGCTGTGAGAACAAAAAGATTTTGGCTATTTCTTCCCAAAAATCAAAGTGATGTGTTCTTACATTCTAATTCAGAGAGACAGAGGTTGAAGATGATATCTAAGCAATGCTCAAGAAGATTTTTTTTTTTACTATTATACTTGTGACTAGGCTGAATTAAAAGGTTCATATTGGCTCACTTAAGCTATTCAGAAGGCAAATACTAAACAGAACAAACACATCAGACAGCTAATTTAAGCCTTACTCCCTGAGAAGCTGAGTTCAGCCCAGATACCCAAGACACACTGGTTAAGGAACAGGCAAACCCTCAGCTTCCTCTAGTTAGCCCAGGATTTCTGGGCAGTAATGTAAAACATCTGAAAACTTTAATTGCTTCCTTTAAATACCTCTTTTCCTGACCCTGGGGAAGCTATGCTCAGATTCCTACTTTTAAGCACCTGAAAGCATATGTAGTCCATGGCACTCAATCTGCCCCCTGTGACAGCAACCAAATCCCACCCAGCTTTGTTTCAAATGGTGCCACTAAGCAAGAAGTTTCATGGACATGAGAAAAAAGTCTCCCCCCACCCAAGATGGAAGTACTTCCCTTGACCAAATTGCCAATCATCTCCCTTAGGATAAAGGGAGGTTTTGTTGCTTTAAAAACAAGGTCTTTTTCTCCTAAGCAAGAACATTGCTTCTATCAGTGTCAGGGAGTCATAAGACAAACTGCACTTTGTTTTGCTACATAATCTACAGTCTTTAAGAGCTTCCTTCTGGCCTTTCACATTAATATTCCAATTTTAACCAGCAATTGAGTTTTGTATTTCTTTTAAGGATGTCCAGACAAATGCTGAAATTAGCATCTCTATAAATACAAGAACAATTCCTATTTCCCATGTACAGGAAAAATATGGTCTTTTTCATCCCTTCTGCCCTCCTAAGATGATAGAGAGGGTAAGGACTCTTACCTTCAGCTAGAAGTAACCAAGCCCAGGGATTACAAAAAGGATGGAAATTGTAAATAGCAAAATTCACCTTTAGAAAACTCTTACCCCAACACTCATGTAGTATAACTACTCCAACTGAAGAGCAAAATCTGAACTCACTAGTTCTGGCTCATTACACTTACAGGCTAATGATGTAGTGAACTTAATGACTGCAACTTGGACTCAGCTGACTGACAGAACATTTATCTTATGGCAGTTATCTCCAACTAAGTGACAGCTATGAGGTCAGTCAGATTTAAAGCATATCTAGACTTGATTAATCTTGACTGTGTCCAGTTTACCAAGCATTTTAGACGCCTTCCCTTCACACAAATGTTAGTGTAGACACTGGTTAACAGTTTACCTGGATAGGTCTTCACAAAGTTCATCTTATTAAAGTCCTCAGAAATATGAAACTCCTAAAAGCAAAGTGAAATTGTTAGGAAACATACCACAGTGATATAAACAACACTGATACCCAAAAAGGAGCAGTAGCCTCTCAGGCCAAAGGTTATATAGCAGCAGTATATCTCACCAAAACAGAGCTGTTTTTGAGGCTGGAGCAAAGCACACTGAAATACCAACTGTAAATTAAGGTTAACAGAATTTTCAACAGGGAACATCCTTTCAGAACTGAGTTTGCTGAAGGGAGATTACAGGAAAAGATAAGACCTCATTTATCCCCAGCAGAACCAAACAACACTGTATCTTATAGTATTTAGGATTTACATGTCTGAGACTTCATAATGGATGGGTTTAAGTGAGAGTATTCTCTATTTGATGCATTAGGCTTATGAAATTTTAGAAGTCTCAACTTACAAGTTTCAGTATTTACCACAGGAATCACCATTCTATGCAGTTCTGTGTAGACTATTCACAGCAGTTATCAGTAGAATCACTGTTTATGACACTCATGCATACCCTGACTCCTTATAGGACAGTTATTATTTTGACCTTATTTTCATAGAGAAAGGAAACCATTAAAACATCTGAGAGTCACAAGATTCCCCTTCTTTACCAAGAACAGAGTGGAAGAATACAAACCCACTTTCTGTTCTGCTATGTGTGTATCTGCTCTCCAGGACAAGGACAGCAACTACAGCAAAAGTATAGAAAGAAGGAAGAGATCCCAGAAAGAAAAGAAACAAACCCAGTCTCTTGTAATTTTAGAGCTAGTGTTCAAATTTCCATATCATAAAAAGATCTGCAGAAAACAAATCCAGAGACATGTGCATGGCAAGATAGAGGCAGATCATTATTCCTGGCCAGAGGCAGTTCATAACCCCTGTTAGTTCTCCACCATGGCACCCTGCCCAGCTTAATGTACTCCCCTTAAAATAATTCCTTGACAAAGTGCAGTTGTTTGGGTCCACTGCTGCACTAATGGCTCATTGACTTCTTGAGGCTATCTGGCTCACATCTAGCCAGAAGAACCCTTGCTTTGCAGTCCTCCCCTGCACAGCTCAGCTGAACTGCCAAGAAGTTCAGCCATATAGTAGTAGCTGCATTCCAAAATGAATGGGAAGAAAACAGATTATTAGCTGCCAGCAACACCTGGAGCTCACAGACAATCTAAGCAATTCTAATCTACTTTCTGAAGAAAAGTCACAACAACTTACCATGATAGCTCCATTATCCTGGCCAACAAATATTCGTCTGCTGTCATGATGATAAGCCATGGCAGAACATGGTGCTGCCAAAAAAAGAGCAAGTACATTACAGTGATTTAAACAGAGTTATTAGGATACACATGACTTTTCAGAAAGTCAAATCGTTCACTCAGGGCAAAAGCTACTTAAGTAGCTTGATAGAAATTAGCCTGCACAGATAACATCCCTTGGTAAGATTGTTAAATTCCCACTTGTGAACCTGAGGATGGGTACATGACTACTGTAACCCAGATATACTACTACAATTTCCTGCAACAGGGTGCAACTCAGCAAGAGGAATTTTACACAGGCTGAAAGCTGAGCTAGCAGCAACAGCATCTGCAGCTGGTTACACTAAAGAACTTGAGCTCACTAAAATTATCTCACATGGAGCCCTAAAAGATAAAAAAGCACAGAATATTCTTATGCCTGAACTTTGAGCTAGTGGTTTGAAAAGCCCACTTAACTAGCAGACAAGTTATTTGCCAGCACTTGAGGCACCTACAGCTGCAGATCCCCCCTGGTGAAGGGTGTGGTTCTGACACAGCTGCCGTAGACCTTGCCCACTATGCAGCTTGTTTCAAATTGAAGTCTGAGCTAGATTTGCTAAAAAAGCTCCCAAAATCGAGATGACTGAAGGACTCCAGCACTTGGGGAAATGGGAAGGAGCTATTCCCACACACAGCACAAACACCATGGTATGCCTGGCCACCACTTACCATCTCCAGTATTGTACTTACATGACATGGTGTGGTAGATGCTGGGCCAGTACTGTCCACTGTCTCTCTTCAGCCACACTCGTATTGTTCTATGTCATGGGAAGAGCAGGGAGAAGCCAGTTGTGAGTGAGTGCATCATCCCTTGCATCTGAACCAGTTCATTACTTATGTATCAGCTCCAACCCTCTAAGCTTTTGTGCTACTCAAACATAATTGAGGAATGACATAACAGAAATAACAGCACTCAAATATTACTCTAACTTAACAAGAATAATAGTACTAAGAATAGGCACCCTTGGATTCTGAAGAGTTTTCTTCAAGACTATTTATACATTGAGTTTCAGTAAGTGTGAAATGGAAATGCTATTTCAGTTCACCTCAAAATTGCTACATATTGCATTCCTTTAATTCCCCTCCTTGGATCTGGCTGATGCAAGTCAAATTCAAGTTGCAGAAACTTTCTAGCTTTGGCAGTGCAAACACAGCTTGTTTTGTAACAGATTAAGTGCCTGATATGTTTTTAAAAAATTGCAAATCATGTCATTATGGAAGTCTGAACTTTTTCATTTTTAGAGCTTCTCTGTGCAACTCAGCCTTGAGCAAGCCAGACACTGAATATTAGTAAGAGATGCACCTAATCCTCCAGACCAGTATATTACTGACATCTCCATCCCCAAGTATTAATTAATGTGTGAATTCTTAGAGGACAACAAATCTAAGTCAGTATTATTTCCACTAAGCCATACCTGTACTCCCTCATGTAGAAATGCAAAGAACAAACAACATTAGCTGCTTTAAGTTTGCATTGCTCCTCTGGCCTAAACATGAACAGGACTGATGAGGCACTCAAATGAAAACTGAAACAAGCTGACAAGATGAGTTGGACAACATGCTAAGATTCTTTATAAAACTGGTTTTAGTTTGCAACCTTCCAGAATCACCCCTTAGAAGAAAAGGAAAAAGAATCTTAAGAACACTTAGCATTACACTGCTCTCATGACTGTCAAATCCTGGGAGGAGGGATATAAGAGCCCAGCAAGGAAGTGGAAAGCTATTGTCAATTAAAAACATTCCTACAACAGACACATTTGAAGGGCCTCTACATCAAGAAGTTAAGAGCACACATGTAGACAGTGCTCAGGTTATTTTAAGTCTACTTGAAATTTCCTCTCCAAACCATTGTTTGCCTTTTTGTTACTGTTTAAATCCAACTTCCTCATTCCTAAATGATCTGTAAATATATGTACCTGGAAACACTGTCAAGAGACTTCATTGAGATGCATTGTTCTATTTACTGTTAGCTAATACAAGGCCTGGTATTTAGAATTTTTTAGAAAAATACTAGGTTGGGGTTTTTTTCTAAACATCATATAGGATTGACAGTAAAGAGTTTAACAAAAATAGCACAGCAGGGGACTGGTATCTTGCATCAAGACTAGAACTTTTCAGGTTGAAGATACAATGGTGGCATTCTAATTTTGCAATCCACTTCAGGGCTTTTGTTTAAAAAACCACTCAAAAATAAAGCAAACAATGCCCACCCTTAATGTACTACTTTTCTAAAACTTGAAATCAATACAGCTGAGTACACACTGCCCCAAAACAATAATTTTCAGCTTTTAAATCAAGTCACTTTTCCACCAGTTCAATGACATATGTCCATTAATGCAGTCCACTAAATATTTTGCATTAAGACTGTCTCTTAAAAGCTATCACTTCCTCTTTACAAGAATCGACACCCTGCCTTATGTCAGTAAGTTAACACTTCAGAAGAGCATTTGCTATTTCTTGGTAACATGACAATATGGGAAAAACAATGTTTCCAAGTCATTCTTATGATGCAAATGCCAATAGTAGCATGAGTTACCACCTATTTATTTTTATCAGCCTTTAATTTGCTTTGTAAAGCAACTTCACCAGATGGTATCTTCCACCCTTACTAATGCAGCTCTTTCACTTCTAGCCAAAGTCACATAATTATTTTCTATATAAGAAGACTACTGGGTTATCATGGTGATTGAGATCACCCATTGCAGATTTTTCACAAGCAGATTTTTCTTCCTCTCAGTATTGCAGTTAATGATACTAAACTAGAGTAAAGGAAGCAAAGAATTGGGCTTTTCTAAGAAATTGTTTCTTGGAAGTATAATTTCTGCACTGATCATCAACTTCAGTCTCTCACTGAAGTCAAGAGCCTAAGCAAATAGCTGCAAGAGTTAGCAAAATTAACTTCTGAAAGCTTCTTATTTTAGTTTAAGTGAGATTTAGACTACACTCGCCTCATGCTTGCAAAGATAAGCTGTCAGACAGCTTTATATCTAATTATACAAAGCTCTGACTGAGCAAAATTTGAAGAGATCATTTCACTCAGCAAGTGACCTGTGCCAAAATACCACTTCTACTCAATTCTCTCTCATACAGTCCTGTTTTTGTGATGCCTCTCCTTATGTTAGGACAAATTAGTTTGTGAAATACTAGTTCTTAGCTTAAAGGACTAGAGAAGTCCTCCAGTAATACTGCTCCCACAATCTCCTTCTACTGCAACAGTGCTTTATCGTGAGAACCACCCTAAAGTCTTTAGCACTCTTCTCAAACCTTGGTCTTACTTAATGGGAGTCCTGTGCTCAGTGCCTGAGAAGAGCTGGCTACCACTCACCTTTCCTTCAGCATTTCCTATCAAGGGCCTAGAAAGACACAGGTTGGTTTGACAGCAGTCTGGGTAAGGACGTAAAAATGTTGAAACTCATTAAGGAGCACCCAGAGATAGGAACATACTTTTTAAATTACAGTAGACTCAGACAGCTGAGAGTGGCAGGAGGAAACAAAACAAGACTAAAAATGACCTTCAAACTTCCCTAACATTCAGTATTGAACCAGAAGTTGCTTTCAGCTGGACAGCATGCACATTTATAGAAGAGCCATTCAGAGCAGTTTTTCGGTAGGATTTTTTAATGTAATATAAAGAAACACACACAAAAGCCATCTTCAAGCAATACTGAGTGTGGCCTCACCAATTTCTAAGAATTTTCATTGTTCTTGATTGCTGTTTCTTTTACAGGGTGATTAAGCACCCAGTAGTGCTGGAGAAAAAGTCTGGGGTTTGAGAGCAGAGAAAATCCTGCATCACAACAGTGTCTGTGCTCGTGCTACATAAGCTGCCCTCTAAAAGCCAACTGCACATATGTCAGGGAGTAAGAACTGATGAAAGATTAGCAGGCAAATCCAAACCTGCTACAATACAAGCACTGCTGCAAGTTACTACACAGCTACCCTAGCCCTGTTCCAAGCTCTGCACCGTCCTAACACCTTCAAACCAGCAGCAATTGTTTTCCTATCTGAAATCAATTACCAACAGTTACTAACTAAAACAGTTCTTGTTTTCCTAGCAAGAACAGAAGACTGCATCTTTCTGGTAGTTAAAATAAATCAAAAGTATTTAGACTGATATTGACCTTGTTCCCAAAACACCATTAGGAGTCTGGTTTAATCACAGTGCAGTGGAATCTCAAGGACACAGCTTGCAGCTGACAGTTTTTATTGAATTTCTGTACACTAAATATTGGTCAAAACACATTTTAAGTTCCACAACCAAAAACCAGCAAAACCAACAAAACCTAATACTGCAATGTAAGCAGCTGCTGATGGTCACCAAACACCATCACTCAGGTGGGCCAGTGACTCCAGAGATCCTGTTAGCCTGTGGTAAATACATTACCTTCATCTTGCATTTAGGGTCTTGCACACAGCTTATCATCCCTCAGCATTCCCAGCTACAGCTGGGAAACACGCATCTAGCCTTAGCTATCTGTCTGCTGAGGGACAGACACACTGCAACAATTCCCAATGCTGTCTTGGAGCCAGGGTCAGGCAAGATACCGACAGGGACACAGAGTTGATTGTCCTTTTTAGATTAGTTCTGAGAAAGCTCCACAGATGGCAAGTATCCTGCTGAACAATCAGATTGGGAAAACTAACTGTTTGTCTCCTGATGGCATTCTTCTTTCCTTTTTCATCTTCAAAACTTTAAAAAAACCCTTGACTCTGTGTTGGCATTCACAGATCTACTATGGAACCTCTTGTATTCTCAAAAAAAAAAATAGAATTGTTACTTCTCATTCCAGGAAATATAATTTAAAATAGAAAGAACTACAACTTCTCTAATGAGAGAATAATCTACAACAATCCTGGAGAATGTGCACCAATGTTTTCCTCACTACTTAAGCTGTAAACACATTCCTCTGACTGGTTATTATGAAATACTTGACAGCCTCAGCTGCATTAAGGTGCAATAAAAAATACTTTAGCCCTACTCTTAGTGTACACAGCAGCTCTTTTGCTCCTTGTACTCTGTACTTTGCTTGCTGTGAGCAGCATAATCAGTTACACAGCATTAACACCTACACCCCACTTTTGTGAACAAACAGGGCAGTAAGTTTGACAACACATTAAACTGTAGGTAAAGGATACGTGAGTAGGCTTGATGTACTGTAGGAGGTATCCCGGATTAGAGGTAATAACAGTGCAACAGTTTCTGAAAGTTTAAAGATCTAAGTAAATTCCCACCGCAAGGCAGGTGACATGAATTCTGCTTTGAGCCCATAGCCTCACTTCACATTACACACACCAAACATGGGCAGCAGCCTCTGCTCTCCTCACACAGCTCTGTGTCTGACATCAAAACTTGCCCAGATAAAGATGCAGCTGCATCCTTGGCTCTTATCAACAGTCTAAACATGCAGGCTGCTGACCTTCAGCATTAGACTTTGAGGTTTAAAGGTTGGCACTGTCTGCCACAGGCAAGGTTCTGCAAGCCTGCACCAAGAAACTCTGTGCAGGTTTAACTCAGATAGGAACTCTTAAAAATTGCTATTTCCTCTTCTCTCCTTCAGGAAGTACATTGAAGTGAACACAGCCCATGCTGGCACCTAAATCCCAACTTCACCCTGCCCAGCACCAAGATACCAGAACAATCACACGTAAGAGTGGAATAAAAAGGAAGCTGCCCAGTCCCATCCAAAACCCATTATCAAACATGTACTGCACAAAGTCATCTCCATGGGAAGGGAAGAGACCAACCAACTAGCCATCGGCCAACTGGTCTGATTGTGCTTTTTGACCCAAAATAAATGCCAGAAAACTCAGTTCAGATAACACACTCCTGTTTCTCACAAGGTCAGGCTATTCAAATAAGAATTCATGCAAAAATTGATGCAAATTCAGTTTAAAATTATCCCTCCACCAAGTTACACCTCAAAGAGTGCACTTTCTTATTTTTAACACGCTTCTTTAAGACACTGATACCGTTTCTAAACAGGAGCATCTTCTATCCCTCTTAACGTTTAAAAGTCACTTTCCACACAGCACGGGGGAAATCCCCTCTCTCACCGCTACGCTGCAGACCTCTCACCACTCTCATTGCCACAACCCCTCTGTGCTACTCGCTTCCTCGTTTCCACTTGCCTTTCATCCGAATAACCGCTTAATGCCATCACAGCTGCCGTGGCAGGCGCTTCACAGCTGTGTGAGCCAGTGCTGCGGACCAGGATTAGGCGCTGAAGGCATTTTCCTTTCCAAGCAGAAACCATCCTCCTCAGTTGCTCATCACTCCCCCTCCGCCCCGCTCTGCCACCTCACTCCGTGAGCTGCTCCAGCCGGGGCGAAGCAGGTTTGAACCTTCACGGCGAGCCATCGGAGCGGGCTCGTTCCGGCTGGAGCAGCTCGGGGAGCTCCGGCTCTGCCGGCACAGGGGGAAGCACCAAGTGACTACAAGTGACCCAGCCGGCGGGGCTGAAGGCCGAGGGAAACACATCCCCACACTCCTGGTTGTGTCGTACCCTCCGCAGAGCCCATCTGCACACACGGCTGAGCAGGGGCTGCTCGAACACACACGGACACAGCGGGCGGGGAAGGCTGCGGGCTCCGCTGAGCCGCTCCTCCTCACAGCTGAGGAGGCTCCAGTCCCTCCCTGCAACCGCAGCTCCGGCTGTTTCTTATTGCTTTCTATTTCCTTGTGGCTCCAGGCACGGAGTCACGGCCGGGCGCCTCCTGGCAGTGACATCGCCCACACCGGTATCGCCCACACCGAATTCCCCACAGAGCACCCCCCGCGCCATCGCCTCTCCTCCGGTCCCCGCCCTCGCCGGCCCCGCGGCCCGGCGGGGAGCAGGCCCCGGCTCACCTGTCCTCGCCGGCCGTGATGACGCCGTCCTCCTTGGGGATGAGGAGCGCGGCGCTCACCGCGTCCTGGTGCCCCTCGACCTTGCTGAGCAGGACGGGCCGCCGGCTCTGCGGCCGCGAGTGGATCTCGGCCGCCATCGCGCCGTAACGCCCCGTGTAGCGGCGCCGGCCCGGGCCGAGGTGCCCCGTGTAGCGGCGCAGCTCAGCCGCGCGCCGATGCCGTCACGGGCGTGGGGCGGGATAAGGCGGCGGGCGTATTCTCTGGAATAGAAGGGCCGCGGGAGGCCGTATTTCGTAGAAAAGCGGAGAAGCACGATCTGGCTCCGGGCCGGGCTGGCGGTGCGGTCGTGTCCCCTCCGGCAGTGCCCGGGAGGACACGGTGGCCGTGGGCTCAAACACGTGTGTTCGTGGCGTGCGCCGCGGGGCTGGCTGTGCTCTGCCCAGGAAAAGTCACTGCCATGATCTCGGCTCAAGGAGTCACACTGGCTTGGGGCCACCACAGCACAGCAGAAGAAAGGCTATTTCCCCTGGAGTAATTAACGGAGGGATATGGGCTGAGGAAGGATGTGTGGTCACAGGAAATACATTAGCTGGTTTCTGTCCTTTAAACCAGAAGCAGCTGTAAGCCTTCATCCTTTAAGTCCTTAAGCAGCTGGACTGTGCTGTTACTGTGCCTCTGTGTCCAATGCATGTGAATATTGGCCACATAGCTGGTTAACCAAGAGCAGAATTCCTCCTGGTTTTGTATTTGAACAACAGTATGTAATATGTATAAATCATATATATATATATATATATAACACATATATATTTATATATATTATATAGCCAACACACTGGGCTTAACTGAAAATCCTAACTGGGAGCTGGATGAAGCTTTTTCAGCTCTGTCTGTCCTGGACAGAACTGTGCCCAAAGAGATGAGCTACAAGATGAGGTGCAGACAAACCTCCCAGAGCACAGTGGTGAGGTTCGTACCATTTGACCAAAGCCATCACAGACCATGTCCCACACCTGGAGCCAGGGAGGCTGAATGAGGCTTCTCCAGGCTCCTGGGAGAGGGCAGAAGTCAGGAATTATCTTTACTGCTGACCTGCTCCAAGACCCTGACCTACTCCAAGAGAGGAATTTTGTAGCTAAGAAACCCAGTAAGGGAGATTGGCTAGACAGCAAAGGAAACAGACACAGAAAGAATAGGTCCAGCTTGAAGTTTTTAAGATACTTTTGGTTAAACACACTTTGTTTCACCTCAGCATTTCCCTGTTTCCTTATTTTTCCTCTCTATTTCCAGAGTCCACCTTTCTTCCACCCTTCTTACTTCCTGAGCCCTGCCCACTCCCCATTCGTTCAGCTCATACCTGTGCCATGGTGCTTTGCTTTCTCCAATGTTCCTCTTTTGGTCCAGTTCCTAAACTTAAAACCTGCTTTTTCTCTCCATTTATTCTTCTTTCTCAGCCTATTTTTTCCATCACCACAATCAAACACAGCAGCAAGCCAACTCACTCTGCACCACCTCACATCTCCCATGAGGAGAACTCATGTCTCCCATGGTTCTGAAGAGGCTCATGTGTAAGATGAAGGGAAAATATCAGTCCTGTAACAAGGGACTGACTACATCCACTTCTTCCAGGGTTGTGCAGGCCTTCACCCAGGGAGCAGTCACAGGAGGATATATATAGGAAACAGGTTTTTCAAAATAGGTGACTCACTGTGCAGAGCTATCCCAAGAGCCCATCCCAGAGCCTCAGAGGGATGCGGGTGCCTGAATCCTCTTTGAACCTAGGGGAATTAAACAGAAATCTCCTTTTGAGGCTCTCAGTCTCCACACCTACAAACCTTACATTGCTGTACCCTACAGGGTTTCTCCCAGTGTTTTACTGCTCAATACCTGCCCCAGAGCTGAGGTCCAGCACACAGCAGAGCTGCTGGCTCAGCCCACTGCACCCAGGGATGCTGCTGTGTACAAACACCATTCTGTGGGATCACCTGTAATCATTTACCAGTTCCTTGTACAAGAACTGCTGTCACCAGAAGCTCCAGGGTTAAATTTCAGATTTTATTGAGTGATGTGCTGGTCTATGCTGCCATGAGAACCTGGCCTGAATCCCACTTGTAAGGGGGGACCTGGTGCATGGCAGTCAGGTTTGGTTACCAAGGACAAGAATATTACTCCAGGTCTGGTCTAGCAAATTGGCCCAATTAAGACAACGGGCAAGGACCACATAAGTGAAATACATAGAACAGCTGGATCTAAAAATCCTTCAAACACAATATTTCAGGCCTTGACTATGTTTGCTGTGCTTGCAAACAGCAATACAGCACTTGGCCCAGTGGACATACCTGCATCAGAATTAATAATTCGTGATCCAAGCAGCCACCAAAGGCACCTTGTTGCCCAGTGGTCTGTTTTTTTGCTCAGACTTGTACATATCTATTCCTCTGCATTTTAAGCCTGACCTATTTTGCTGCTGCCCATTGTCAGAAGTGAGATTCTGGCTCTCTGCCCAAAGAAGAGAGAGGAAGGCAGTGCTCCTACTGTACAAAGGCTGCACAGCAGGGACTCCTGCACGGCTCTAGGATGGCATATCCACAGGGAAACGTTTTCAAGAGCAACTATCCAAAAACTTTATTTGATGACTAGTGGGTTTGAACTTTTTTTAACCTTCCTTTCTTATCACATAAGATATTCCCTCCGGCCTCATCATCTGGTGCTCATCATCCCGCTGACCTTGGCTTGGGAGCGTGGTGGAAACGCATTTTGGTTCGGAGGTACATCCTTCTACCAGCTTTTCCATGTCCTGGACGGAGTTCCATCTCCCGCGGGAGCAGGGGATGTGAAAACAACTCGTGTTTCCCAGGTCCCGATGCACATCCCGCTCCGGAACTCCAAGGTGAGGGACCAGCCCCTGGACACGGCGCCGTGCGCGCGGCCGGCCGCMAGGGGGCGCTGCCGCAGCGCCGGGATCGGGAATGCGGGACGGGGGGACAGCGGGATATGGGGAT